TCGGACGTTCCCCCTGCTGACAAGAGCCTAGACGAAACCCTTAAAGAAATTGATGCTGAACTTGCGGCCGAGAAGGTTGCCGAGATGTCTTCTCAGCAGTCCTCCGAGGTCTAAACCCAGCCTGCTGCTGAAGACTCTTAATTTTGATGTCATTTTCTTCTATCTTTTGTATTTTTGATTTTCTTCTTTGTTTTTGGCCGACGTGCCTTTTTTGAATATTAATACAACTTTCCTTCCCTGAATGCTTGTATCTTTGTCGTCTGTTTACTGCTTTTGCATGATTCTATACTTAGAATATATCTTTAGTATACACTTCAATCTTTGTGCAATCTTCTCGGGATAACACACCTCGGTCATACAGACTTTGTTTAACTTTAACTTGTAAACTTTTCTCAAGTTCAACAAGTATCATCATCTGGGTTTGTCTTCAGCTTGTAAACTTTTCTTAAGTTTCAACAAGTGTTAAACATCATATCGGTTTAACTTCAACTTGTAAACTTTTCTCAAGTTTCAACAAGTGTTAAACATCATTTCAGTTAAAACTTGTAAACTTTTCTCAAGTTTCAACAAGTATTAAACATCATTTTGGTTTAACTTCAACTTGTAAGCTTTTCTCAAGTTTCAACAAGTGTTAAACATCATTTCGGTTTAAACTTGTAAACTTTTCTCAAGTTTCAACAAGTATTAAACATCATTTCGGTTTAACTTCAACTTGTAAACTTTTCTCAAGTTTCAACAAGTGTTAAACATCATTTCGATTTAAACTTGTAAATTTTTCTCAAGTTTCAACAAGTGTTAAACATCTTTCTTCTCGCTACCCCCTAATGTGAACCTAAGTTCCGCTTGGGGTCTCATTATGCATGTGTTCCGAAACAACGTTATGTATCTTCATCAGTCACAAATATAGAAGAATTTTGCTAAAATTTTATTCATGACGTCGGCAAATAACAAGGAAAATCTAATGGTAGAAAAATTTCAGATTACAAGTATTCCAGGGTCTTGACAACTCTTTGCCCTTACTATCTTCAAGCCGATATGCCCCGTTGCCCAATACCGAAGTAATTCTGTAGGGTCCTTCCCAGTTTGGGCCAAGCTTGCCCTCCCTGGGATCCTTTTTGTTGCCGCCGACTTTTCTCAAGACTAGGTCGCCGACTTAGAACTCCCTTGGGTTAACCTTTTTATTGTAAGCTCTGGCAAGCTATTGCTGGTATACTGCCAGCTGAATTGCAGCTCTTTCTCTTCTTTCTTTTAGTAGGTCCATATCTCGGGCTAAGAATACATCATTAGTCCTGTTCTCTACTCCCTGGGTTCTGAGCCCAAGAATGCCGACCTTTAGTGGAATGACATCTTCTGTGCCATAGGCCATGGCAAAGGGGGATTCCCCCGTTGATCTTCTCGGCGTAGTCCGATATGCCCAAAGCACACTTGGTAGTTTATCCACCCACTTTTCCTTGGCTGCCTGCAGCCTCTTCTTTATCCCATCCAAGATTACTTTGTTGGATGCTTCTGCTTATCCATTGTTCTGAGGAAAACTTGGGGTTGAAAAGTAGTTCTTGATCTTGGACTTTGCGCAGAAGCTTTTGATTAGCTTACTGTCAAATTGTGTTCCATTATCGGCAACTATTGCTCTTGGAATCCCAAATCTTATGATGATATTTTTCCAAATGAAGTTCTTCACATCTACATCTCAGATTTTGGCAAGGAGTTCAGCTTTTATCCATTTTGTGAAGTAATCCGTTACTACCAGCAAGTACTTTCTTTGCCCAGTTGCTTGGTGTAGTTGCCCAACGAGATCCATACCCCATTGGGCAAATGGCCAAGGACTAGATATAGGGTTCAGAATCTGCTGCTAGTTGGTGTATCAGAGGTGCAAATCTTTGGCATTTTTCGCATTTCTTCACACAGGCTTCTGCATCTTTCTGCATGTAGGGCCACCAATACCCCTGGGTAATGGCCCTATAGGCAAGTGATCTGCCCCCAGCGTGGCTTCCACAAATTCCTTCATGTATTTCATATAAAAAATCTTCAACTTGTGAAGGATGTACACACCTCAAAAGGGGTCCAATGAAGGATCTTCTGTAAAGATGTCCTTCCGCTGTTAGACTGAATCTTGCCAACTTCAATCTGGTCTTGTGTGCCTCCTTGTGGTCGTCTAGTAGCTTTCCTTCTTTCAAGAATGCAACAATTGCATCCATCCAGCTTGGTCCATGTCCACATACATTGCTTCTTGTTCTGTGGTCAGTGGTTCGATGCTCGGGCTTGACAAGTAGTCAACCATTATGGTCTTTGCTTTTCCAGGTTGTATCGCACTAGCTAAGTTGTCCAACGTATCGGCGTGGCTATTATCATCTCGGCTTACCTGAAGTAGTCGGCAGTTCTGAAACAAGGCTGACAACCTGATGACCTCCTTTGTGTAGGCCGACATTTTTTCATCTCGGGTTGCAAACTCACCTATTGTCTGGTTAACTATGAGCTGTGAGTCACAAAAAACTATTACCTCATCTGCTTGTACTGCTGCTGCCAACTTCAGTCCTGCAATGAGTGCTTTATATTCTGCTTCATTGTTTGAGGCCTTGAACCCCAAACGAATCGACTATTCTAGTATCTGCCCATCTGGAGATACCAGTACTACTCCTACCCCTACCCCCGCTCTCTATCGGTTGGAACTCCCATCAACGAACAGTCGAAAGGAGTCGCCGATGTAAATGCTGCAGGGTCTGAGTTTTTTCTCTTTGCTTTGTTCTTTCGCCTTTGCCTGGGCTCTTCCTTGCTTGTTTGGACATTGTTCACCTCGGCTCAACAGAGCCCGATGTTCGATGGATTCTGGCGTGAACTCTGCCACAAAGTCGGCCAAAACTTGGCCCTTGATTTCCGTTCTGGGTCTGTACTCCAGGTCATATTGGCCCAAGGCGACTGCCCATCTGGCTATTCTTCCTGTCAAGTCTCCTTGTTGCAGTAATGACTTTAAGGGGTGTTCAGTTAGCACCACAATTTTATGGGCCTGGAAGTAATGGTTCAGCTTCTTTGAAGCCATTACTAAGGCCAGTGCCAATTTCTCTAAGGGTAGGTACCTTGTTTCTGCATCGGCCAGGGTTTTGCTTACATAGTAAACTGCCCTTTGCTTCCTTTTTTCTTCTCGGATTACCACTGCGCTTACTGCGTGTTCTGAAACTACTAAGTACAGGAACAACTCCTCTCCAGGTTCTGGGTTTGAGAGGACTGGAGCTATGGTCAAATATTTCTTTGGGTCAGTCAAAGCGGCTTCGCATTCCTCAGTCCATAGGAAGTCTGTGGCTTTCTTCACTAAATTAAAGAACGGTTTGCACTTGTCTGAGCTTATGCTGATGAACCTGTTCAGGGCTACGGCCCTTCCAGTTAGCATTTGTACCTGTTTTGCCAACGTCGGGCTCTTTAACTCCAACATGGCCTTAATCTGATTTGGGCTGGCCTCAATGCCCCTTCTAGTCGCAAGTATCCCAAAAACTTACCAGATCCCACTCCAAATGCACACTTTGCTGTATTGAGTCAGAGCTGATATGCTTTTAGGATGCCAAAGACTGCTTTGAGGTCGGCCAGATGTCCTTCTGGTTCCTTGGTCTTCACGACCATGTCGTCGATGTAGACTTCCACCGTTCGGCCAATCAGGTGTCTGAACATCTTGGTTACCAGTCTTTGGTAATTGCTCCTGTGTTTTTCAACCCGAAAGGCATCACTCTATAGCAGTACAGACCTTTTGGGGTGATAAAAGCAGTCTTCTCCTCATCTGGGGGATACATGGCTATCTGATGGTATCCCCTGTAGGCATCTAGGAAGCTCATCCTTCCATGTTCCGAAGTGTCGTCTACCAGCTGGTCAATCTTAGGTAGAGAAAAATTGTCTTTGGGACAGGCTTTGTTCAAGCTGGTAAAGTCCACGCAGACCCTCCATTTACCATTCTTTTTCTTCACTACCACTATGTTTGATAGCCATGTCGGGTAATCTACTTCTCGAATGGCCCTGGCCTCGAGAAGTCTGTCTACTTCTTCCTCTACTGCTTCGACGTGTATCAACGTCGGTCTTCTTGCTCTTTGGATTACAAGTTTGGCCGACCTGTCAACGTTTAGCTTATGGCAAGTGATCTCGGGGTCAATGCCTGGCATTTCGTAAGGTGTCCATGCGAACACCTCAATGTTTGCTCTCAAAAAAGCTTCCAACTCTTTTTCCTCTTCTTTGGCTAAGCCCAAGCCGAGAAGAAAGAAGCGTTCTTCATCCCCCTCTTGGATGAGGATTTTCTTCAGTGCTTCCTCATTCTTCTCGGCTGGCTCCTTGCCGACATCCTCTAGGACCTCCACATCCTCATCTTCAATCTCTGCCTTCTCTGGTTTTCGAATGCCGCAGGTGGATTTCATTGTTGCCATGGAGCAATTTTTTGCTTGCATTTGGTCTCCTCTGATCTCTTCAATCCCATGCTCTGTTGGGAACCGCAATAGTTGATGTAGTGTTGAGGGAACAGCCCCCATTGCATGCAACCATGGCCTTCCCAAGATGATGTTGTAAGGGGAGGGTCACTACAAGAAAAGTAACTTATGGTGACAAAAAGTTGTGAAGAAAATAAATTTCGTCACTAAATAAGAATAATTCATGACGAATTATAAAATTTTGTCACATATAATAAAAAAGTAAAAATAATAGGTGTCGAAATTTATTTTCGTCAATAAATACTTCTTTTCAAGTGAGGAAAAATTAAATTTCGTCACCAAAGATTTTCCCTCTAATTTTTTTGGGTGGCACCAAAATTTTGAGATTTTTGGTGAGAAAATTTTTTGTCACCGGTTATAAAATTATTAGTGAGAAATATATTTTCGCTACTAATAATTTTTAATATTTTTGAGATTTTTTGGTGAGGAATTAATGTTGTCACCAATTTTGGTGGGAAAAATTTTGAGTATTGAGCAGCATTGAAAAAATAGGGTTCTAGTTATTTTTTTCCCCCTTTTCTGTTTATCATCTCCTTTCCATTTATCATCTCTATATCTCTCTCTCAAAACACACGCACCTAATACTCTCCGCCATCGCTCTTTGCCCTCGCTACTCCCCCTTTAGCGCCTGCACTACCGTCAGCCCTTGTTGTCTTTCTACGCCGCGGCTGACATCGCATCTCTGAGCAAGCATATTGTTCTCTCTCTACACTGGACTTGTATAAATAGGGCTCCACTCTTTGCATCAAACCCAGGTTCTTTTTCTCTATTTTTTCTTGTATTCCATCAATTTGATTGAGCTATTGTAGAATTTTTATGGGTTTTCAATCTTCACAATTTTTTTAGCTTCTAATATGGCTTTATTGCTGATATGTTAAATAAATTTTGAATTGTTTTCTTTATTGAGCGATTTAAAAGCTTTGATTTATCATATGGGTTTTCAAGTTTCATATATTTTTTGAAATTTTTTCAGTAGTTGATGTATTTAGTTAGCCATTACTGCTCTGCTCAAGGATTAGATTTCTAAACTAGGGTTTCGATTTTGGTGATTTGTGCAATTTGATTCCTTCTAGTCTACCGCCTAAAGATGGTATTTTTATTTTGTTATTATTCTACTCTGTGTCTATCAAAATTATTTGGGCGAAAAGGACATTTATTTTAATTATTGATTTGGATATTAAGTTATTTCTAGCGAGATTATTTCTAAGATCAATGACTTTGGACTGTGATATTCTGATTAATGATATTGATAATGATGCTGTAACACATTAACATTGTTACATTATTGTTTAGTTGATAGCAAAAAGCAATTCTGGATGTTAGAAATACTTTATGTTTGCCTTACAAACAAACCAGATGGCATGGAATAACTCTATGTTCAACAAACCAAATGGCATGGAATAACTCTTTTAAAAATAAATCAAAAATAATAAAATTAAATTACAATTTCTAAAAGAAAACAAAATACAAAATTAAGAATCTAAATGATAGAATCTACTCAAAAAGTGCCTTACATCACAACAAAGTGGCAAGTTTGATACGTGGGCGGTTTCTTATCAAACATGGGCCTTTTAAAACTAATCCACCAATATTAATCTAGATAACTATTTACCATTCTATTATCCTATGATCCAAATAGAGTAATTAAGTTGTCTTCATTTAGTAATGCTCTCCATTATGGTGTTTTTGAAATGTATCTTTATCTTGATGGTATTGTAGCAGAGGTTGGTTAGCGATTTTTACAAAATCCTCAATCAAGTGAGTACTGAAGAAATCTCAGATGACCTGAAGTTGTCAAAGTCATTTTTGAGCAACAATTGCTATTTTATTTGAGCAACAATTTCGTAAATATATAAAAACTTTGGTTTTACTTTATTTGATTTAAGAAAGTGAAAGACATTGTTCTTATGAGTACAATGAAACAAAAATGAAGGAAAATGATGAAGATTTGAAGAAAAGAAGCTAGAGAGAGAGAGTCTAATTTTGCTCTAGTTTTCATTCTGTTCTTTGAAGAAGAAGACATAAGTTTTATCCTGTGTGAGTGTGTTTTTTATACAACCTAGTTAATTATTCAGTGTGGTTGTGTCCTAGGATGGTTTTTACATCCTACTGAATTAGTCATTTAGTGAGGTTGAGTCTAAAATTATTTATTACATCCTAATTGTTTTGAGACAATTGGATGGTAATTTTATATCAGAAATTATCTTTTTGTTTATATATTGAAATTGATTTTGCCTATTTGATTCTTGCATAAAAAATTTGTGAGATTTCAGTTTGTGAAATCTAGTTATAGCAGATTTTTGTGGGCCTGAGTTGTAGTAGATTATTTAAAATAAAATAAAATAAAAATTTGAAGGTAAAAGAAATTTATTTTCTTTTGGTGGGAGTATATTTTAATATACTAAAATAATTTTTTATTCAAAAAAATAAATTATTGAATCAAAGGCATCTCTGTCGACACTAAGAATCATGTGAAAATTAACATTCAGGTTATTGAACATTTTCTGTATTTATTATGTGTTCCATCACCATCAAAATTTTTTATTTGGTTTTATCTGTTTTGTGTGAGAATTAGCAATGTACAAGTTTTCCTATTTCTGACCAGCTAGAGTTATACCCCCCAAATAATGTTTACTTGAAATTATACCTCAACAGTTTGTCATTTTCACATTTTTTAATTACTTAAAAAGTCCTAGTGTATATGTAAGATATTTTTGTATGCATATTTTAGCTTTGATTTTTTCATGCTTTATTTATTATGTGCACATATCAATTAGGTTTTACAATTTGGCTTAATAGATAGTTAAGTGAGCAGAACATGCTCTCACTGAACTTGTATGTTTGTAAAGTTGGGCACAATTCTTGATAAACTGAGTCTAGATTTTAATGGATCAAGCCTCTTTAAAATAGCAAGAAATACGTATGTGCAAGGGAACTGTTACTTTTGATCTGTTTTTGGCTCTGGCAATTTCTTGTACCCCATTAAAAATAATAAGCACTATTATTTTTTTTTCTTCTGTTTAAAGTGCTTTAAAATGAGGAGGTGAATTATGTCTACTTAGCAACCAGTAAAATATTTGCAACTTTCTTGACTTTATACTTAGATCTATATTATCATACATAACTTTTTGCTCTTTGTTTTGTTATTTTTGCAATTGAGTTCTGATTTGTTGTCGCATTTTCATGCTGGTAATACCCCCAGGCTCAACTTAACATATTGCCTTTTATTTCTTTTAACTTGTATGTTATTGCTCTTAAGAATTTCAGGGGGGAAATTATTGAATTCTCTGTTGACAGAATTTTTGCTCAGCTTCACTTTTGCTCATCTGCCTTTTAAAGCTGGTGAAAATTAGGGTAACAAATGTTTCTATAGTTGTCAATTAAGGATCCTGTAGATGGAGGAGCTTGCAGATGCATAATATGTAGACTATGCTCTTTGAGATTTTTCTATGCTAGTTTTTATTATGATAACAGGAGGGTTTTATTTTTGTGCTGGTTTTTTTTTTTTATGACAGTATGAGGATTTGATTGGATGATCTTCACCTAAACAAACTTTATTTATTGTTAACAATTTGTGGGATTCTTTTCTCACTCTCAATGAGTTGGAAAATGTGGGGTGTTTGACTGTTGTTGAACCAATTTGTATGAGTTTTTTAATTGGAGCAGATGTATTGTAGCTGGGAATTGGTGTAGCATATGCATAAATTATCATCATCATGACATTATAATAATGTGTCTTGTGCTATCTACATTATCCATGACGCATTACCAATGGACTGATTTCCCTATTTTGGTGATCAACACAATCTTCCTAGTATAATTTAGTAACTAGAGGACTAGTCCTACTATCAGCTGAAAATAGAAAAGTGATCAATGAATCAAAACCATTTGTCTGAAACCTTAATTGCATCTAAACTGGATGTAAATGAGGCAATTTTAATATTTCTGAAATGTTTGTTGATTTGTACAATGATCAATAAATCAAAGATGTAATTTTCAAGTAAGGAGGGATTATTTAAAGTTATGGAAATATGTCCTTTTTTCTTTTTTTTTGCCTTGATGACTTCAGGTTGACACTAGTGTTGTTCCAATAAAATTTGACCATGCATCCCATGTCTTATTTTGGTTTGATGTTGGGCACTACACTAGCTCAATTTTGATTGAATAATCAGGCCAAATTGTATTTTTCACTCTCATCAGTTTGCTATTGTTTCAAAGATATTGATCAAGTCTTTCTATCTCTGATATCTTAGTGTGACTGTTATGATGGCTGAGAATATTGTCTCACTGAAGAAGTTTTTTGCAGGAATGCTTCACGTGGTTTATGTCAATGTGAAAAGGATTAATGGAAAGCTGTCCAGAAGGGGCTTTGGAGCTCTGTCATGTCACCTTATGAGGATAGATATATTGATGTTAAGTTCATTGGTGAAATTTCTGGTCCTGTCACATTGACAGATGAAGATGGTCAGACATTTATTTCCTGGTTCTTAGGTCTAATTCTTATTTTGTTCTCTCTCTCTCTCTTTGTTTATTTTTGGTTTTTATGGTTTGTGCAGAGTTTCAAAGATGGCGTTTACTTTGTCTTGCTTTTGGTTTTGTTTTATTGCTGTTGGCATCAGTGGTCAGTAGTTGGGTTCCTTTCTATTATAGCAGTTCAATGGAAATAGGAGTTTTGCTTGTCATTATAATCCTTCTTTTTCAGGTATTTGGATTTGGTGGCATTGTACAGTAGTTTTTTTTCGATCTGTTTCTTTTCAACTTGCTCTAACTTCTTTATTCTCATATGGTGTGCGACCTCTTGATTGTAAGGTTTTAAACTTAATTTTATTGCACATCACATATCAAAGTTCGCTTCTTTAATTGTACAAAAATCCTGAAATCTTTTGAAAATTGAACCTTGGTTAAGAGTAAAAGTAGACTGGTGTTCACTAGTTGTATTGGCAATGTGACTAATGTTATAAAAAATCTTGTAACTTGTGGGGCTTTTTTTTTTTCTTTCAAATATTTATTTTTATTTAATTTTATAATTTCATGATAGCTTCAAGGGAGAAGAGATGGGAAGAAGAATAAGTTATGATGTTTGTCCTTCTCTAGCTTTAGAATTGAAAGATAAAGAGAACGGAAAAGTATTCTTTTCACTATATTGAAGAATTTTTACCAAATGAGTACTGTTTACTACAATTTTATTACTTGCTAGATAGCTTTAGAATTTCATATTTTCCTATGAATCCATTTTACTTTCAAAATTCAACAATAAGGTCTAAAACAGTGGAGTCAATGTAACTTCTTCTATCCTCTCTTCTTTTGCACTCCCTCTATCCGTATCTACTTGTGTCTTGCTTTCCAAGTCTTTACTTAACATCTAGGGGCCATTGGCAAAAATGATAATCTTATTTTCCCCTCCCAAGATAAGCATTTTGTTTCATTATGGAAAAACAGTCACTAGTAAAGGGGCTGCTAGCTGTAGTGCAGTGTACTAATAAATATCAAAAACAAATTGAGATTACTGGTGGTGGATCGTGGATGAAGGTTGAGAGTATAACATGTGGAATACCTTATGTTGTCTCTCAATTAAATATGATATATTTAGATTCTTAGAGGGAGATGAGTTCTAAATTTTACCTCCCTGCAAGGGAGAGAAAGATGAGAGGGATGAAAGGTGCTTGTCCACTAGGTGTTGGGGTCAGGTTTGGCCATGTACGGTGGATGCCTGGTGGACTGTGTCTATGAGGTTGTTGAGTCGCCCAACCTTGGTGTTTGGGGAAGTGGTTGTTGGGTTTTGTTTTAGAGGTGGTTGATAGCCATGGTGGCCCATGAGGCTTTGGTCAGTGGTGGCATGTGAGGCTGATTAGTTTGTCTCAAACATGTCCTGTGATTCTTTCTAGTTCTTGTTGCCATTAGTACTAGTGATACATGGTATTTCTGTAATCTTTTGGCATCTTTTGTTATCCGTGTTGCTTATCATCAAAGGATCACCTTAACTCTTTGAAGTTTTGGATTGTTATATGCATTTCTACTAAATTCGTTTATAAAATAAAATTATTTATATAGGAGCTTAGATGTAATTGATAATATATTAATGTTTTCCTTATTTATTTTCTTCGCAGATTGGTTTTTGATGACGTTTGGAAGCATACTTGCAAATCAAGATTAAGTTTGAATTTTTTTTTTCTTGTAAACTGATACTTAGCTCTAGTTGCAAATCAAGATTGAGTGTTTATTTTATTTTTTGTAGATTCCACGTTAGTTCATTTTGGGATTTGTTATGATGTTTTTTATTTTTTTTTTATTTTTTTTATACTTAATGGAATATTATTAAATTTGTTTGATGGATATATTTTGATTTATAATATAAATTGTTTAGTAAATTTTTTGTGTGGAGTGGTGTATAATAGCTACTGGATTTCTTGCCACATTTAAAAGGCTATTGTGATATAAGCAGGGATATTTACGAAATAATAATTGAAATTGAAATATAAAATATAGAACAAGTTTAGTGACGAATATTTTCGTCATCTGTACTTGTTAGTTTGACAAAATGATTATTCGTCGCTAATAAATATTTTTTGTGACAAAATTTATCACAACTTATATATGAAAGTTTTCATTGATTTTGCTATTTGGTGACTAAAAATTTCGTCATGCATATATATTTTTGTCACGAAATATATTTCGTCACCCATATCTAACTTTTGGAGACGAAAAATTTCGTCAACTTTACTTCTTACCGTGACGAAATTATTTCCTCATCAATGATCAACATGTGTGACAAATTTATTCATCAACTAAAGTTATATATACAGTACTGACTAACTATTTGGTGACGAAAATGACAGTTTTTGGTGATAAAATGTTGTTTTATTGGTGACAAAAAATTTTGTCATCAAAGTAATTTTATTGGTGACGAAATTATTTTTCCTCACGGTGATTTTTAGTGACAAACATTCAATGACGAAACCAGTGACGAAAATATTTCTTCACAAATATCTATAGTGACAAAATTAGCTCTTTGGAGACAAAAAAATTTCGTCATTCAAGACCCAACTTGTTGTAGTGGGTGTGTCGATTACGGTGAACTTTGTTATTACCCTTCTAGTGCTTGCCTGCACCTCCAAGCTGCTTGTTTCCAGTGGCCATGTCGGCGTTCCATTGAACCCGACCATTGGGCTATTGGATTGTTCCATATCATCTGGGTGAAGGCCGAGCTCCTTGTAACATCGAACGTACATTATGTCGCAAGAGCTGCCTTGGTCAATCAGGATGCGTTTTACTTGGCACTCCCCAACCTGGAGGGATACTACCAAGGCATCATTATGCGGATGCTGTACCATCTCAAGATCGACTTCTGAAAAGGACAGTATTGGTCCTTGGCACTCCTCTGCCCGGTGTCTCTTCTCCCCGACTTGGTAGACATGTTGCAGGTGCTTCACCTTCTGGGTCTCCCCCCTAATTTCGTTCTCGTTGACCTTCGAGTGAATCACATTAACTACCTGAGGTCCTCCTGCCTGAGGTTGTTGTGCTGGGGGGGTGGAGCTGCTGGCGCCTGAGGCAATCTTGCCTGTTCTTCCTTTGTCCTGGCCTCATCGACAAGGTCTCTCAGATGGCCTTGCCTCACCAGGTCTTCCAAGTGTGCTTTCAGGACTCTGCAACCCTGAGTCATGTGCCCATTTTCATTGTGGTAAGCACAATGTCTGCCAAGGTTTCTTCCCATGAATTCTCCTGGTGTCTTTGCTGTTGTTCTGAAATAGGGTTGATTCCGAATTTGATCCAGGACTTTGTGAATTGGGATTCGGAACACAGTTGTCACTGCCTGTGTAGCCCGCAATTCTGTCTCTTGCTTATTTGATCCATTGTTACCTCGGCCTTGCTTCGGCGAGCCGTTTCCTTTTTCTTGCTTTGTCTCCTTAGTCCAAGACGTATCTTCCTCGGCGTTGGCATACTTCTCGATTTTTGCCATGAACTCTTCCATGCTTTTTGGCAATGTCTTGGCCAAAGATTTTCGTAGTGGACAGTTGTCTTTTAGGCCGTTCTTGAAAAATACGACCGCAACCTCGATTACACTCTGGTATTCGGTTGAACACCTCATAGTACCTTTTTGCATAAGCCCTAAGGCCTCCTTCCTTACTAATCTTCAGAGCCATTAATGCGTCCACCCTTAACGGCTGTAGCTTGTTTGTTACGAATCTGGCCACAAACATCTTGGCCAGGCCTTCCCAAGTCTTGACGCTTCCCTTCGGTAATTTGTGGAACCAATCTAATACAATTTTCCCAAAAGATAAGGGGAACACTTTGCAGAGTAACGGCTCGTTCCCACTATATAATGCCATCGAGTTCAAGTATAATCCAACGTAAAAGTTGGGGTCCGAATTACCATCGTAAATTTGGAACCTTGGCATACTGAATCTTTTTGGTGCTTCAAATTTGTCTTGTTCCACCGAGAATGGTGTTCTCGGCTTTTCTGGGGAAGTTACCTCGGCATCGGCATTCTGCTGCTTCCTCTTGAGGTAATCCCTCAAGTCTTTTTTTCTCCGTCCAGGGGCTCAGCTATCTCCTCACTTCAGTCTTTTTGGCATACTACTCTCAGCTTCGTGGTGGGTCCTCTTCGATCTTTCTCCGTGAGTTGTGTTGAAGCAGAGTGCCTACCCCTGAACATTTCGATGTCCTTTGGGGTCTGCCTCCTTTGTGCGATGCGTCCTCTATGATTCTTCTCTTCTTGACTCTCTTCGTCCAACCTCCCTGGAAGGTCAGTGAGAGCATCTGTCGCTCCCGTTGTGCTGAGGGGTGACGGGGATTGTTTTCTGCCCTCCTTCTGGGCATTGGCCGCTGGAATCGGCGTGTCCTACAGCGGGAACGGTGGCTGCATGACGTTATTTTGCATCATGAAATTGACGACTGACTGCAGGTCTGCCAATTTGTTTGCCATCTCTTTTACCTCTTCGTCCCTCCGTAGGCACCATCCTTCCATACCTGGAGGTCGTCCTCGTTGTAGTACCCACTTCGATCTGGTTTCTTTGGTACATCGCCAGTCTGGCCGATGTCTTTCACTCCATGATTCTGGTCACGAGTTTCTGCGTTGCACTCGTCCCTATCGATATCAAGGTCAATAGGTCTCCTACTTCCAGCAAGAGTGTCGTCCCCAATCTTTTCGTTCTGTCCGTTACTGGCCATCTATTCTTCTTTCATTCCCACAGACGGTGCCAAATTGTGTGAGTGATTTTTCGATCACACTGTCCAACTCAGTATTCAGCTGGAGAGAACTGACAGAATAGATGACACCTGGCTGACCTGCAACAGAAAGAGAAGATTTCGGCGGTGGTTCGTCCACCCAGAGGCACTTCGACGATCAAGTTAGTATATCTCTCAAGGATAATCAATAGTGATAAATTCACTGTTCAGAACATAAATTGCGTACCTTAGACCCATGTGGGTGCCTTTCTTTTATAGCAAACTCAATCCTAGTCCCAATAGAAGCCTAGCTTCAATGGACTCTTGCTCAGTGCTTATCCTGGATTCTTCAAGAGACAAAGATAAACTCCCTAAGAGCTTTATCCTTATCCATGTTAAAGTCTCCCTTATTCTAGGACTCTTGTCTCTTATCCGCTTTTCTCGGATTCTGATATCTTCGGAGATAATCTCGGCCTTGCCGAGATCACCTCGGCATCATGTCTTGGACACGTGGCACCTCGGCTGACACGTCGGCGTCACCTTGGCCACGTGTTAGGACTCATAAAATATATCCCCACAGGTTCCATTTAGA